AAGTAAGGGGGGATACAAAGGAAGACAAGAAGATGGCTCCCTGCTTTCAGTGGGGGAAACAACGCGCTACATCCATAGAGCCACAGTGAAGGGGAGCTGGTCTTGGCAGGAGGGACCAGGAGAAGCCACTGAGAAAGGCCCCTTACAGAAGGAGGGGGTCTGAACTGAATCTGGAATGAGGCACGGGAAGCCAGGATGGGGAGATGGGAGGGTGAGCCTTCCAGCTACAGAAGGCGGCCACCAAAAAGGCACATAGAGGGAGCATCTGCTGGGGAGGAGCGCCAAGGAGGCCAGTGCCACTGAACCACAGAGTACACGGCAGGGGAAGAAGGTGGCTGTGAGACTGGAAAGGCAGGGTAGCAGGCCTGTTTGCCGAGATGGTTTAACCGGGGTATGGTCACTGCCTATCCTACGGTTTCCTGGAGCCACAGGTAGACACCAAAGCTGAATGAACGGCCCTGAAAAGGGCTCGGCAGCCCTCATGCCACAGGTGCCGGTCCTCCCTGAGTCCCCGAGAGGCATCTGCCCCAAGCATGGGAAGACTTCCCTGCTGGATGAGCAGAGAGCAATTTGTCCAATCGCTGTGGGAGTGGTGAAGCAGAAGCTGTGGAGCACCTAGAGCTTGGTTAGGCCTTGAAGACACCCAGGGCATCCACCGGGTCATCGCAGGTCATCCTGACTGTCATCCTGCCACTGGACCTTGATGAATAGGGGCAGAGCGAGGCTGAGGACTTCCTGCAGCTCTGCTGCACTCGAATCCAATGCACGAGCAGGTCAAGACATCACCCCGTGATGTCACTGGTCCCCTTCAGAGACAAAGGTGAATAAGAAGACCGGAAAGAGGGTGTGTGTGCAAATTACGGAAGGCTTTGAGAGGCAAAGAGGATTTTGTGTTTGATGTTGGAGGTAACCGGCAGCATCGGGGTTACCAGGGGGAGGGGCGACGCGGTCAGAGCTGTGCCAACTTTTGCTCTTAGCTAGCATTTATACGGGCAGGTGCGCGGCCCGGTGGATAGAGCCTGGAGTCAGGAGGACTCATTTTCCTGAGTTCAAATCTGGTCTGTTAACAGAATTTTAACTGTCATCCAGCCAGGATCAGTCTCTAATCTGTGACTAGCCGGAGCCACACAAGGCAGGCCAGAGCCAGGAGGGCCAGGAAACAAGTCGTGGTTTAATGAATTACTTTCAGAGTGGGGAATGCGGTCCAGCTCCACATGCTGGAGGAAAGGCACAGCTTATATACATATTGCAGAGTGGGAAAGCGGGGGAAGTGGATTACATACAATCATTTCCGGGGCCTGAGTGGTTTCCCATGACAAGCCCACACATCCGCAATCCCGGTGTTCTGGAGTTCTGTGAGGGGAACAGGTTCTGTGATCTTTGACTCGCTTCACCTAAGGTTCAAAGTGAATGTGAGAGTGTCGTTAAAGGTTTGATTGCTCATTTCAAGCTGCATGGTAAGTCTGACTCCCGAGTCAGAAAAGGCAGCTCTGAAGTGAGGAGCAGGCAGACTTCAGAAAAACCTGGGAAGACTTGGATGGTCTGATGCTGAGTGCAGTGAGCAGAACCAGGAGAACGTTGTACACAGTAACAGCCACGTTGTGCGATGACTGACTTTGATAGACTTAGCCCCTTCTCAGCAATGCAACGATCTAAGACAGCTCCAAAGGACTCACGATGGAAAATGCTATCCACATGCAGAGAAAGAACCATGGAGTCTGAATGCAGATCGAAGCAGACTATTTGCTCTTTTTTCCCCCTTCTGTTTTGTTTCCTCTTTCTGGTGGTTCCTCCTATTGGTCCTAATTCTTCTTTACAACACGACTAATTTGAAAATATGTTTAATAGGAATGTATATGTAGAGCCTGTATCAGATTGCACCCATCTTGGGGAGTGAGGTGAGCAGGGAAGGGGAGAAAGATCTAAAACTCAAAAGTTTATGGAAGTGATTGTTGATAAATCAAAATAAATTAATAAAAATTGAAAAAAAAAGAAAAGGCAGCTCTAAGAAATCTAAATTATTAGTATATTCATTATACATACATCAATTGATATGAAAATCATAATCCCCTTCACAGGCCTCAGATACTTACTAGCTGTGTGACCCTGGGCAAGTCACTTAATCACTCTCTGCCTCAGTTTCCTCATCTATAAAGTGCGATGGAGAAGGAAATGGCAAATCATTCTAGTATCTTTGCCAAGAAAACCCCAGATGAGCTTGAAGAGTCTGAGAGGACCAAACTACAATAGCATTCCGTATGGTGCCTTAAGGGTTGTGAAGTGCTTTACCAATATCATCTCATCTTATCTGCACAACAACCCTGAAGGTAAATGCTATTATTGGGCACTGAGAGCTTGAGGCTTATCCAGGGTCACAGAGCCAAGAAGACTCTGATGCTCAATTTGAACTCAGGATTTCCTGACTCCCTGCCCAAGGCTCTACCTCCTGAGCCACCGAATGGCCTCCAGATCAGTTTGGCAACTGAGTGGAGGGGGGAGGATGCTGAGGTTGAGAGGGCAGCCTGAAGGCTATTTCCATTGTCCAGGTGAGAGGCGATGGGGGGAAGGGGAAGCCTTCAAGAAGCTGAGGACCATTTGTCAGCCCAGGTGGGGGCCGGACTTCACGGGCCATCCATGCCCCTTCCACCCATGTATCAATTTATGGTTTTCTTATTATGAATCAGTTCCTTAAATCCCCTGGAAATGAGACTTCTATGAGAAAAACTTGCTGCAAAGATTCCCCCTCCCCCTCAGTTACCTGCTTCCCTTTTAATTGCATCTGCATTGGTATTGTTTGTGCAAAACCTTTCCAATTTTATCAATCAAAATGATCCATTTTATCTTTTGTGATCCCCTCTCATCCTTGCTTGGTTGTAAACTCTTCCCCTAGCCACAGATGGGAAAGGAAACCTCTTCTTTACTGCCCTAATCTGTCGATAATGTAACCTTTTACAACCACATCATGTATTCATTTGGAACTAAACGTGATATCTGGTGTGAAGTGTTGGTCTGAACCTAATATCTGCCACAGGGCTCTCCAGTCTTCCCAGCAGTTTCTGTCAAATAGGGAGTCCTTTCCCTGGGAGCCAGAGTCAACTACCAGTTCATTTACTTCTCCGCACGTTGTACACCAAATCTCTCCCATCCTCGGGCCTCTGGATTTTTTAACTAGGACTGAATGGTTTTGATGCTTCCTGCTTTCCACTTGGCCTTCACCATCATCTCCAGAAACTCAACCTCCTGAAAAGTGATGTCAACACCGCCACCACCAAAAGAACCTCTCTCCCTGAGCAGACAGGGTGGAGGGTGGACATCCTTCTTGGACAGGAGTCCAAGCCCAGCTGTTCAGGGCTCCCCTTCTCTCCTTTCTAGCTCCTTATTTATGTGGTCTCTCCGATCAGACTGCTAGCTCTCTGAGGGCAGGGACTGGCTTTTGCCTTTCTTTGTATCTCTAGCACTTAGCAAAATGCTTAGCATATAGAAGGCACTTATAAATGTTTATTAACTGACTGATCAGGTGCCCCCTTCCTTCTAGTTTTTAATTTTTTTTGTTATTTCCCTTGAGATTCTTGACCTCTCATTCATCCAGAAGAATTTTATTATCATTTATTTTCTACCTTTATAAAGTAAGTCTTAGGTAGTTTGGTAAGGTACTGAATAAGTAAATTAGTTTAGATAGCACTGTCATTTTTATTATATTGGCTCAGCCTATACATGAGTAGTTAATACTTGGGAAGAGCTGTATAAGTCAAACAGGCATTTATATTTGATTCTGGAGCTACTGATGGTCACTGGACAGGGAGTTTCACAGTCAGCATTAACCTTGGGATAATTACTTTGACAACTGTGTGTAGGGTGGACTGGGGAGAGACCTGAGTGAGAAGCTATTGCAATAATCTAGACAGAGGTGATGAGGTCTTGAACTAAGTGGGTGGCTCTGTGAATGGAAAGGACATGGATGAAGGAATTGTTGAGGGAAAGAATGGATTAGAACTGGAAACTGACTAGGCATATGGGATGAGGGAGTGAGGAATTAAAGATGATTCCAAGGGTGCAAACCTGGGTGATTGAAAGAATGATGTCACCTTCAACAGAAACAGGAAAGTTCAGAAGAAAGAAAATGAGCTGGCTTTGGGAATGCTGTTTTAGCTGCCCTGGAGAGCATCTAGTTATAAACGTCCAAAAGGCAATTAGCGATGCAAGACTGGCGCCCAGGAGACAGAGACCAGGGCCAGAGAAATAGAGCAGGGGTCATCTGCATAGAGATAATGGAACCCATGGCAGCAAAACCCTTATACCTTTCTGAAGAAAGAAGGAAGGAAGGAAGGAAAGGGAAGCAGGAAATAAGGAATGAGGGAGGAAAGAAAGCAAGAAGGAAGGAAAGGGAGGAAGGAAAGAAGGAAAGGGAAAAAGGAAATAAGGGAGTAAAGAAAGAAGAAAGGAAGGGAGAAAAGAAGCATTTCTTAAGTGTCTACTATGTGTCTGGCACTATGGTAAAAGCTTTACAACTACCATCTCATTTGATCTCTTAACAACTGTGGGAGGTTGGTGGTATTCTTATCCTCCTTTTATAGTTGAGGAAAATGATGCAGCTAGGGGTGAGGCAACTTGCCCAAGGTCACACAGTGACTCAGGGTCTGATGCTGGATCTCACCATTCCCAGCGCTCTGTGCTGAGACACCAGCTGTCCCAGGTAGAGAGCGTGCGGGTTCACCTCTGACTTCCCCAAGACCCCTCCCACTGACGGATTGGGCAGCCTGTTTGCCAATTTTGCATTCCTTGATGCCTAGAAGTGCTGGAGACCCTCCAGAGAGATCCCCTGGCCATTGCTGCCCAGGGAGTTTCTTGCTAATGGGGTTTAAGTGCCTGGGATTCCTGCCCCCCTCCTCCCAACGTGCGTCTTTCAGGACAGAGGAGCCAAGAGTTGCACTCTCTCTGATGGGATCGAGGCACTGTGGGCACCGTGGGGCACAGGCCCAACTGCAGAGAAGCCACACACATTTCAAAACGTGATGGATTTATTAATGGTGATCCAGGAGCATTTCTCGGTTTTTAATCAAGCATGACAAACCTGCACCATGAAGTCAAAGCCAAAAGGAGACTGGCCCCACAACATCCTGAAACTCCATCTTGGTGAGTACAAAAGTTCCTCCAGGATGGCCATGATCACTGTGATCCCTTGGTGGGCATGGGGGCCCAAACCACAGACTGAGTCTGAGCCTGGGCCCATGCATCCCAGGCCTGATCCTGATGGAAGCCTCATTTCATGTAGACCTAGTGGCCCTGCATTTACATAGACAGAAAACAGACTCCAGGAGACAAGGGGTTCTCATGTCCAGGCTGTGGGGGTGTCTGGGGGGTCACAGCTTAGCTGTCGGATAGGAAGAGCTCCGTGTTTTCTGGACAAGAAGCTGAGGTAGGTCTTCTGGGACCTGTCTAGGCTCTCTATCCTTCATCGAGGCTCTAACACTCAGGAGATGCAAAATGAGCACCACTTGACCTGGCCGACACATTGGGCAACCCGGGCACAAGGTGTGGGAAGAAGCTGCCATGTTGTTTTTCAGTTCCCATGTGCAGAATCACTGCCACTGGATGTCAGAGCTGGGAGGGGTCTTGGAGATCACCTGGCCTAACCTTTCCTTTTCTAGCTGAGGAGACTGAGGCTTGGGGAGGAAGCCCCAGGTCCTACCTGCTAGGCCAGGACTCATCCCATGCCAACACACATCTTTTGTAGTGTACTCAGGCCCCGATGAGCTCACGTATCAAACAGCACTGACCACCAATGTGTCCTCATTTAGAAGGAGAATTCACTCTGTTGGCACAGAGCCTGGAGGACCTAGTGGTCCTGGCCTTCCCAGCGTCTGACAGGGCTACCTCAAAAGGCCTCGCAGGTGCACCTTCTAAACACACCTTCGGACTTCTCTCCATTCTCACACTTCATTATATGAGCGCACAGGTTTCTATTTTCTAACTCTGAATTTAAGAAATCTTCCCACCCCATGTGGCTGGTGCTGTATCTACTCATGGAACATTTTTTCCCCATTACCAAGAGAAATCAAGTCTTCCTCTCATTTCATTTTCGTTTCAGATTCCCAAGTGGGGGATGATTCTGTTGAGATTCATTAGCCCGACCCTCCTTTTCAATAAGCTCCCTCCCATTAGAATCGCCAAATGAAGATTTCCTTAGCTGCCTACCACCCGATCAAGCCTCCTGCCAACACACACCTACTCCTTGGCCCCTGCCCTGCGCTGTCTGTGCTAGATCTTGGCCAGGTCATCTTTTAGCCAGTCTGCAATCATGGTGGCCATTTCCTGGTTGGAAGACATGACGAAGGCGTGGTTGATACCTTTCTCACAGAGCTTAATGTCTCCACTGGGAAAATCCTTCTTAATATCTTCATAGAACTGGATTGGGCACCATAAGTCTGAAGTTCCGTAGTAAAAGGTCAGCTAAAAGAGCAAGAGGACAGTGTGGTGTTAGAAGCCATTCCCCTCCTCGTCTGAACACAAGCCCACGCAGCGGAGGCTCCCACACCTCAGGACAGGTTTCGGCTGGCTGCTTTGGGGGTTAATTTCAAGGGTGCCCCCAGACCAGGAAGCCCTCTACAGCCACCCCACAAGTGGCCAGTCAGCTTTTGTTTTGAGGATCCCCAGGAAGGGGAACTCACCCCTGCTCCCAAGGCAGCCCATCCCTCCCTTTACTTCAGTGCCCTTGGGACAAGCACTGAAGAGACCAGGAAAAATCCCAGAAAAAAACCACTGAGGGTGGTGCTGAAGGGACAGAGGCTGCTCTGGGAGGAACTTGCCAAGAGGCCACTTGGCACAGCCACATGCCGGGGAACAGTCCCCAGGCAGGGCAGCAAAGACTGATTCTGACCTCGAGGAGGGCTCATCATTCTCTCACCCCAGCACGGTGCCATCCAGCCTGACACAGATCCCTGTGCTCCCTCCAAAGCCGACTGTCCGTGGTGACGTCCATCCTACCTGCGCTGCCTCCCTGCCCCCACCCTAGCCTCCTCCCTGTTGCACTTGAGCCTCAACAATGAGCCCAGGGTCAAAGTTCTCCTGACCCCCTCCTACCCCCACCTTGGGGGTACTGATCCCCGAGGGTGGGGCATTATTCCAGTCAAAGTGTGGGGAGCTTGAGACTCATGGTTTTGGGGTTTTTTTTAAGGCAACTGGGGTTAAATGACTTGCCCAGGGTCACACAGCTAGTGTCAAGTGTTTGGTTGGAGTCTGGATTTGAACTCAGGTCTTCCTGACTTCAGGGCTGGTGCTCTATCCACTGTGCCACCTAGCTGCCCCTGAGACTCGTGTTTTTGCAGAGGGGCTGGGAGATAGCTGTGGAAGCAGAAATCTTTACCAAAAGGATATAGGTCGGGGCTCTCTTCTTTAGCCCCGGGAAGCTTCCAACAGAAAGCTCAGCCCCCTTGCCCTCTCAGGCTGTCAGGACACTACTGTGTGGTCAGGACACCAGAGGGGCAGCTTGTGGCCAGCAGGTCTGTCCTGGGCAGCGTATCAGAGCTTCTGGAGATGGGGGACTCACGACTTCTGAGAGAAAGCTTCTCTTCCTGTAAAGGCTCCGAGGTGTGTGCACAGCCAGCCTAGGATGAGCAGGCTCCGGCGGCCAGTGTGAACAGGCTGGCCTTTGGAACACACTTTCAGAAGGGCCCCAGCCCTTGAGGTGGCCGTGATGTGGCACCAGGACACGATGGCCGTCAGTTAAAACAGATATTCTGGCACTTCTGGCAATAACATCAGACTAAAACCACAAGGTCTACCCTGTCCCTTGCCTCTCGGCTCCTCCAGCCCAGGGTAGATGGTGAGAAAAAACCAGTCTCTGAGCTAGGGGTGTGCCAGGAGGAGGCCTCGGGAGGAGATGGAGCCTGGCTGTCGACACACAACGAAGCCTGAACAGTTTCTCTTCTTTTCTTTCTTTCTTTTTAAAAACCTTTTTATTTAAAGTTTTGAGTTCCAAATCTTCTCCCACCCGCCTCCCTCCTTGAGCGGTAAGCAGTCAGATAGAGGTCATACATGCTGGACAGTTTCTTAAATATGAAACCAGGAAAGGCATCCAATCCCTATTGTCTCCATGGTGGGGAACATTCCAGCTCATGTTATGGTTCAGAGACCAAAGAAGCTGTTAGAGAAATCTAGAGCCCCAGGATGGCAAAGGCGGCCAGATTCTGAGCTGGTGGAGGCTCAGCTGAGGAACTGGGGACACTGAGGCTGGAGAACCCAAACACAGCGTCTTGTCTTTGATTCTAGAGGCCCTAGGGAGTCACTGGAGGTTACTGAGTTGGGGGGGGGGCGACACAGGTCAATCCTATGTTTCAGGAAAATCACTTTGGTGGCTGAATGGAGGACGGATTGTCGTGACAGAGACCTGGGACAGGTAGACCCTCCCGCAGGTTAAGTGAGAGTCGGGAATCAAATGTAAAGTCCTTTCTTCGTCACTCAGAGCCCCTTCCGACCTTTCCAGTCTTCTTACACCTTTTCTGCCTCCACGGACTCTGCAGTCCAGAGACATTGGCCTCCGGGTTGGGGGGCGGTTCCCTTGAACAAGAGCTGCCATCTCCAAGTTGGCTATTTTCTTTCTTTTTTTAAATTAATTTATTTTGATTTATCAACAATCACCTCCACGTGCTTTTGAGTTTAAAATTTTTCTCCCCCTACCTCCCCACCACTCTTCCCAAGAAGTCACACAATCTGATACAGGCTATACGTTTACATTCCTATTAACCATATTTTCATATTAGCAGAGAATGGAAGACGATGAAGAAGGAGCGGAGGACTTCTGACTTTTAGTTAACAAAGGAGAGGGATGGTAAAGGAGCAGGGGCATCCTGGGGCTGTGGTGGGAGCACAGCAGGGCTGAGGCAGCCCCCTCAGGGAGGCTACCAAGAGAAGGCAGAGGGGGGTGGTGTACAGCTGGGGTCAGAGACCCTCCACACCACTGCATGGGGCTCAGGGCAGCATCTGGTGAAAGGAGCTGGACTCGAACTTCCCAGGAGCCTCGGCCTTAGGGAACAGTGACATCAGCAGCTGGCACCATCGCTGGCATTTGGAGGGTGCGGTGGGCAGTGCCACGGGCCCTTGTTTTGCAAAGCAACCTCGTGAAGGGGGAATTTCAGAGTGTAGCAGGGCGGCTGACTGACTTGCCTGGATGTGTCAGAAGCATGGCTCGGGCCCAGGTGCTCTGGAAGCTTCCAGTCAAACAGCCTCCTGCATCCCTGCCCAAGGAGACCTCTCTCCATGGACATGCAGGAGGGAAAGTTTGCCACTGGACACAAGAAGACCCACAGACTGAGCTTACTTTGGGATAAAGGGCTTCCCTGGGTGGCACCCAGCCGGACAGACAGAAGGGGCAGCTGGCTGTGGGAGGAACCCATGCTCTGATGTCCAGAGCAAGCAGAGGCTCCTTTTTGGGCCACCCCAAGGAGCAGCTTGGTGGTGTAGCGGATAGTGCAGTGGGAGACACGAATTCAGACACTGACTGGCTGAGCAACTCTGGGCCAGTGACTTCATCTCCACATGCCTCAGTTTCCTCATCTGTAAAAAGGGGACAATAACAGTTCCTCCCTACCTCCCAGGGTTGCTGTGAAGATCAAATGAGATCTTATCTGTAAAGTGTTTAGCACGGTGACTAACACACAGTAGGTGCGTAATAGCTATTTCCTGACTGACTGAGACAGGCCTCTCCCCTTTGGACCAGCCCGAGTTATTAGGAAATTTTCTCTGACATCCAGTCTCAATCTGCCTCTCTCCACCTTTCAATCATGGCTCCTCAACTGGCCCTCTGGGGCAGAGCAGAACCATCTGGGCCCCTCTGCTACATGACAATCAATAGATTAATCAGCAAACATTTATTGTGAGTGCCTACTGCGTGCCAGGCACCGTGAGGAATGCTGGGGATTGGGGAAAAAAAAAGGTGTAGACACTTGTGCCTTCAGAGAAGGCATATTTTAATGGAGAAGACAGCCAGAAAACATTCGGGCACAGACAGGACACGTACAGGACATGCAGGGTGACCACACACCAAGACAATTATTATGTTTCCTTTCCCACCGGCCTTCTCTCCCCCAGGTAAACACCAGGTCCACCAAGCTGCCTCAACAGATGCTGCTCCTTCCCATCCTGGTCCCCCTCTGCTGGACACTCTCCAGCTCATCTCCGTCCTCCTAAAGGGGGCTGCCACCTGAACCCAGCCCTCCCCACGCGATGTGCCCAGGGCAGGGGGCAGCGCCTGTCACCTCCCCCAGGCAGCCCGCCACCTTTCTTCTCGGGATCCACCACACGAATGTGCCAGTTTGTTCAGCCATTCCCCAGTCAAGAAGCCCAGGTTTTGGTGTCTAGCTTCTTTTTTTTTTTTTATCACAGATCATTCTGCTCTGAGCATTTTTATCCCTTTGGCTCGTATCTGGCTGCCCGTGACCTCTGCTGAGGTATAGTAGGGGGACTGCCGGGTAAGATGTGTGCATGGTTTGGGAGCGTTTCAAATTCTTTCCCAGAATGATTCTTACCTTGTTGGTGCATCAAGTGATCAGCATGGTGAGCCCAGAAATGACGAGATGCTCGCCAGACGGTTCCGGCAGAGGCGTCATGTCTCTGCCCAGGCCTCTGCTCTAACCACGAGACTGCTTCTGCTCCGGCCCCCCCTGATGCTCACCCAAATGATCTTCACTCCGCTTCCCCTCGTGGTCCCAGGGACAAAAAAGACAACCAACCAAAAAAATCCCTGAAGGTTCCTTGACGTCACCCCTCCTGCTCTGCCCCTCGGAGGTCCATGGGAAGACTTCAGGGAGCCCAGTGAGTCTGAGAAGGGGGCCATGACTTCTGCTTGCACCGTGTGACCCCAATCCTCCTCCTCCCCTGACGCTCCATCCTGGTGGACGCAGCCCACTCCTCCAGGGCCACACGCCAGTCACAGGTCCCACAGCACCAAGCTTCAGTGGTACAGATGAGGTTGGATCCACCTTCTGGAAGCCTGCTACCCATCCTCTGCCCATTGGTACTGTAGACGCTCCAAGGTCATGGGTTTATGCTGCTGCCTCCTTTCTGGGAATTTCTCCTGTGAATGTCCAGGCATCTTTTCTTCCTAAAATGCGGCTGCCCTTTGTGGGTATTAAGTTTGGTGGCTGTCTGCACCCAGTTTTCTCCCTTTGCTGGCCAGCAGCCTGATGCACTCACCATTTTTAGGCTCTATCCCAGACTAAACGCCCATCTGGCTTTCAGACATATTTCAAGATGGCTCCGCAGCTTCCTTTTAAAGCCCTTCGTTCAACAGGTACTAATGATGAAAACACCACCTTCGCCCCGAGGGCTTCATAATCACCCCTGGCTCACAATCTTTAGCACTGATTTCTAGGTTTCTGGTGTCAACATTACTTATGCTTCCTAAGATCATGGTCCACAGTGTACTAAGGCAGGGGGCCAACTGTGCAGGCCACATGCCAGGCTCCTGGCAGGGGCATCCGATCAGCAGACCCAGAATACAAAGCAGCTGAAGTCAACTCTGTAGTGCTAGTAAGCAATGGCACCCTGTGATAGAGCCCTGGGCACTCTGAGCAGGCCACAAGAGCTCTAGGCAAAGAAGAGTTGGTGGGCATCCAGGCTGCAATGATGGCCCGGAGGAATGACTCCGGACCCTCTCTGTTCTCAGGTTCCCACCTAGTCCTGACGTTCCATGTTCTCTATTCTAAGCTCCCTTCTAGCTCTGACATTCTCTGTTCTAAGGCTGCCCCCTCCCCCCATGTTCTGACATTCTATGTTCTCTGTACTAAGCTCCTTCCTAGCTCTCTTACCTTCTAAAATGGAACAAAATCTTAGGAAACGATGCTAGTGAGACCCCTCTTAAAAAGTGGCCCTCGGTAAGCACCAGGGAAGGGGAGGGTCAAGGACACGTGTTTCTTATTCGGCTATGCTGGGGAACACAGAGGAGGAAGACATCACGCTGGACATTCCTCTCGTGCCAGCTCCTGTTTCCCCACCCCCATAGCAGCCGGCCTGCAATTACCTTCTTTAAGTGTTTCTGGATGGTGTCGTTGTCTCTCTCCAAAATGGTCCTCATTTCTTGGCTTCCCAGATACATAGCATTTGCTGAAAGAAAACACAAAACAATCCAATTAGGCTTTCTGGAGCAGAAGGCTGCCTGGAGGGTGGCCCCGGGGTCATGGTGAGACCCCCCCCCCTCCATCCCTGAGGTGGGTGGGGAAGCAGGCTGTTAAGGACTCAAATAAAACCAGCAGCATTAGAAAGGAAACAGATTATAACCTAGGCTCAAGGACCTCGGGTCACTCGGAGAAGCTCTCTGCAGCAGCCTCCCAGACCCCAGCTGGGGAGATGCAGGTAAAAGGAAGAAAGGAGCTGGGAACACTCAGAAAACCTTCTCCATTATCCAGACCCTGAAGAGGAGGCAGCTGCCCAGACTCTGAGCCCCAGAGGCTGCTGAGGGAGAGATCATCCAGGAGGGGCCAAAGCAAGAAGGGAAGCAAACTTATTGTTGGGGACCATAGGACACTCAAGACAACTGAGGCAGGTGTTTGCCAATTTGATAGGAGCACTGGCGAGGCTGTCTGTCTTCCAAAAGGACATGTCTGAGTGATACATAGGATAAACCTAACTTCCCAAGAAGACCAGGAACATTCTGGTGTATGTGGGAGCCTCCTTTCATCTCTGACCTCTGGCTGTGCAATCTCTGGGTCAATGGCGAGGGGTATTTTGGCCCCCGGAAGACACTAAGTTAAAGTTCCTTTACAGAGTTCTGGGAGCAGAGCACAGTTCCACCACAGCCCCCTTCAGCTCCTCCAACACTACCACTGCTGCCAAGATGCTGCAGGTGAATGCAAACTTCAGATGTGTTTTTCCTGGTTGTTAAGAGTCTGCAATTCTTCTGAGAACATCGTGTTCATATCCTCTGATCACTTAGCCGCTGGAGAACAGCGAGAGAGATTTCAAAGAGTTCAGAGGAAGGAGAAGAGACTGTGGACTCACACTCTTCCAGTCAATTCAGCAGATGGAAAACACTCAAGTATGAACCTCTTCACTTCGTAAGATGGAAAAAGAGGAGGTGCCAAAGCGACTGACATGGATGGACAGGGAATCTACCAACAAAGGCAGATTTTAAAAGGAAGATGGTGGCAAGGCCAGCGAGCACGTCAGGAGGCAAAGGCTCCCTGGGAGTCCAGTGTCTTCTCTTTGACTTGCCAAATTGCATTAGATCTATTTTGTGTGAATGAATGAAAAAACACTTCTGTGTGCCTAACTGCTGAAGCGAATACATATGTGTACCTTGAGGGTACATGTGTACCTATGTACATGTTGTCTCCTCAACAAAAAGAGATCCAGTGGAATGCAAAATCGATTCGCTTCCTGTCATCCCCAGCACAGTGCTGTAGTAGGCACTTAATAAATGCTTGTTGAAGGATGAGCTGAGAGAATCCGGAAGACAGCCACCAGATGTGGGCAGAAGTTACAGAAGGGCCAGTCTAGGCTCCAGGTCAGGAGAAAGGGCTTCACATGAGAGCAGTCCAGCTCAGAAGGGCTGCTTTGGAAAGGAGCTGTGGCTGGATGGCCCCCGACGGGAGATGATCCAGTGAGCGGGGTGTAGCAGATCCTTTGCAAGGGTGCATGTTGGACCAGAGGCCATTGGAGTCTCCTCCAATTCTAAAATTCTGGGACTGTTGAGATTCTTCAGCTGGAAAATGAAATAAAAGGCCAGATTCTTGCTTGAGCAAGATGACTCTGGCAGCTCTTGGAGGATGGGCTGGAGTGAGGGGAGACTGGGGGCAAGGAGACCAAGAAAGGGCCCTTGCAATAGTCTGGGGAAAGAGCGGGGGTGGGGGGTGGCCCACACTGGGTGTGGCTGGTGAGAGGAGAGAACAGAAGAGGGAGAACTCTTCCAGAGCGTAGTCTCCTCCCTCCCCCAGCCTTCTAGATGCTCCAAGTGCACAGACGGCCTCTTCCCCTCGAGCACAGCCTGTTCCATGCTGCACGCCCTTCTCCTTCAGATTACACCCTATCTCAGGAGGGCTTCAGGCTGCCTCAGCACCAAGGATAATGTTCACAGTAGAGCAATCTTCACTCTTTATACTTAGAGAGGAAAAATAAATAACCTCAGAAGTGGAAAAAAATGCCCTTACACCTAGATGATGACACGAAGTGAGTAGTTTTGAGCTTCGGCCACCATGCTAGGGTAGATCTGAGCACAGCCCACGTTTCACAGTTAATAGTAAAGTGGACACTCTGCACTGCCCATTCCAGCTTCACAAACTATGGAACTGCACTCCTACTGTTTCTCCAAGGCCTTATTCCAAGTAGCTGAATGATACCAAATTGGGAAAGCCTTCCCATTTTCTCTTGCCATCAACTTCTTTCTAGTAGTTGAAGTTTTCACGATGTGTGAGTCTAAGCACTGGACGCCTCTGTCACGTGGAAGGGAAAAGGAGTATGCAGGATGGACAGTCATCGGGCCACTTTCATTTGTTTCACGGGTAGCCAGCGTTCTGGTGACAATCTCCAGAGAACCAGAATCGTGGGTCCTCCACAATGGCGGGCAATGGGAGAGACTGGTGATGAGTATCCCTCAGCTGCCACACATCCACAATGACTCGTCTACAAGGAATGACCCAAAATAGATCAATTGCCAAAGTGATGTTTCGGTCTCAAAGCAAAAGGGATGACAGATGAAGGATGCTGCTCATGCTGCCTTGGCAGCCACATGTTGGAGGAAGAGCTGGAAGAAGGCCTTTGGTAGGCGAAGCTGCAGGGGGATGCAGTTCCACAAGTGACGTGATCAGGAGGGACTGTCTCCACCTTGAGATTCCTGACCTAGGTAGCTGACGCCACGGTGCACAGAGCACTGGGCCTGGAGTCAGGAAGACCTGAGTTCAAGCCAGGCCCCAGACATTTACTAGCTGTGGGACCCTGGGCAAGTCACTGAACTTGTGACTGCCTCAGTTTTGTCTGGTAGTAACACCTACTTGCCAGAGTCCTATTATTTGTGAAGATCCAATAAGATGTTTTATAAAGTGCTTAATACAGTGACTGCGCTACGAACAGCAGGCGCTTCCCTTCTGTGCCCTCCCCTGCACATGAAGACTGAAGAAGCTCAAGGAGAACTCTGGCCACCATCACTAAGACCTGCTCCAGCTTCAGGCTATGGTCAGTATTCAAGAGGACAGTCCCATTTTCCTAGGAAGAATGTTCACCAAGGGATTCAGTATTTTAAAAACAATTCCCACGTGATGGAATCTTGTAGGTTCAATCAACTAAAAAGCATTTACAAAGCACTTACTATGCACCAGGTGCTGGTGATATACAAAAACAATGAAATGACCTCCAGTCTCACTGGGGGAGACAACACATACAAGCAATATGCAGAATAAATATTTAGAAAATAGATTCGAAATAAACGAAAGCCTCCCAATTAAGGAGGCAGGACACTAGCAATCAGAAGGATCAGGAGGGGCTTTCCTTTAGAAGGCAGCTTGCGACTTCTTGTTGCCACAAAGACTTGGAAACTAAAGGGGAGGTATCCATTGATAATTAATGGAATATTACTGTACCCTAAGGAATGATGAAAGGGACTGATTGAGAAAAGCCCTGTGAGGGTTCACATCAACTGATGCAGGATGAAGTCAGCAGAACCAGAAGAGTTTACAAAATGCCCACAACACTGTGAAGGGCACAACCACCACCCCAACTGTGACTGACTTCAGAACTCTGAGTAGCACTCCCCAAGCCTGAGGAGGAATCGTGGGAGCCACTTTACAAAGAGACAGAGGAGAAAGATCAGAGGGGCAGAAGGAGACCTACATTTCTGACACACAGCGTGTGGGTTTGGTTTTCATGTGGATGCTCATTTTCTACAATGGAGGACAAAAGGAAGAGAAGAAACAAGGGGCATCAATGAATTGCATTTAAACATACGCTAAAGGGACTATGAGAAAGTCCCAACCAGGATCTCCCAGGCATGCAGGGACGAGTAGGAGATGCCATGCTACATCTGTGGCATACCTTAAAGAACCAAGCTCCCTAAAGGAAGGGCTCATAGTTTCATACCCAGTCCTCTTTTTCTGTTCTTTGAACTGGGAAAGGTTTGCATTTGCCTATGTTTGTCAACTTCATGATCATAAATAGGAAAGGTTTTTTTAAAAGGTAGTTCTATCTAGCAGGAAGAGAAGGGTTCTATGAAGGGGCGAGGAAGCAGGCAGGCATTCTAGGCACAGAACTGGCCATTTGGACCTGTGAGTCATCTTCAGGGAGAGATTACTGAAACCCATGGGAGCAGATGAGGAAGGTGGGAGGAGACAGGGGGAGGGAGGGGGAGAGAGAGAGAGAGAGCCCAGAATGGAGCCTTGGAGACCAGTCACAGTTAATGAATGTGACATGGACGAGTCAGCAAATGAGTCCTAGAAGTAAAAGGAAACCCTGGAGAACAGTCAGTCAGTAAGCACTTACCAAGCCCCCAGGGGAGGATGGTACTCAGAGAAGACAAGTGTCTCCGTGCGAGGGCTGCTTTCCACCTTTGGTGTCCAACCAATCACACACCTCTCACTTGGGGCTCCAAGGAGCTATAGCATGTGCAGCGGCCACACCTCAGTAAACTGTTTTGGCAGACGGGCTAAACTAGGTTGAGGGTAACCAAGGGGCCTCAAACCCATCACTGAGTTAGGGGGGTGTCTACCCCAAGCATATGAAGACTTTTCCTGGTAGAATGGGAAGATGAGAACAATTTGTTCCAACGGCTATGCAGGCAGCTAGAGCTGGCTCTGTGGAGCACTTAGAGAGTGGTCAGACATTGAAGACACCAAGGTCACCTGCTGCATCTTGAGCCATCATGAGTCGTCTTGATTCTGTTCTGACACTGGACCATGATGACTCGGGAGAAGAGAGTGAGGCCGATGACTTTTGCCTCACTTAAATCCAGTTTACACACGAATCAAAGGACACCACCCATACCATTTTACCTGCCTCAAAGTCCTGTGGTGACAGGCAAGTGACAAAGCAGCAGGTGCAGATACACTGGGAGCTGTAGTTACAACCCTGCACATGGGCCACCCAGGCCACAGGATCGTCTTCTCACTCAAAGCAGCAGT